ATATATATATATATATAAAAATTATAAAATATATAAAAAATATTCCTTTGGTAAAAAAAAGATAGTTTAAAAGATGGGGTGGTAGGGGAAGTGGAAATATTCAAATGGCTTCAGGAAGAAATCCAAATATTCTTCCTTGAAGCCTTTTTATCCACTTCTCCGAGGCTATGGGTCCCACAATTTACACCAGAGGTGGACCCCATCCTATATATATATATATATATATATATATATAATATTATATATATTATATTAATATATATATATATTATATATATATTTATAATATATATATAGTGTGTGGGGTGTGTGTGTGTATGTGGCGAATATGTAAAACTGGTAAATTAGCAAGAACTCATTTAAAATTAAGTCCTTTCTAAAATTTCTCTTTACGTTTAAAGATATATTTTTTTTTCTTTAAATGTTAATGTAAAAAAAAATTATTTTGCTCCAAACGATTAGATTTGTTTACATAATTTAATACTAAACAAACAGTGAAATATATTTTTTTTCGTTCAAATGATTTTGGCGAAATTATTGCATACACAAATTTTCGCTGTCCTATATGGCAAGATGAGCGTTGCTATTTAAGCCAAGATCGCAAGTTCTGCCTATTCGGCACGACGTTGTGGTGTGTATGTGTGTGTGTGTGTGTGTGTGTGTGTGTGTGTGTGTGTGTGTATATATATATATATTTATATATATATATATATATATATATATATATATATATGTATATATATATATATATGTATATATATGTATGTATGTATGTATATGGATTGTGTTCCCGAAGACATGCTTGCAGTTTGCAGCGTGAAAGCCCTAGAGCAACTTCAATTCCCCCCATCCCCAGTGGTGGTTGTGCATTGTTGATAGCTCGTTTGCCGTGGTTTTACAGTATGTATATATGCTTTGTAGCCTCAAGGAGAAATATTAGCATTTTTTCCCTCAAAGTCTTTGTATTTGCTTGTCCGGGGCCCATGGGCCCCCATATTTGAAACAGAGGTGGACTAAAAAACATGTTATTTAAGATATTTTTGTGAGTGCTTATTTAATTTGTAGTTACGACGTGTTGTGAGCCGAGAGGTAGTCACTCGTCTCAGCAT